TCTTGAGAGGGGTAAAACATGCATAACACACACTATACTCTAAGACAATTCGTACTGACCAATACTTAAGACATAACTAAAGCTTCACAGAACTGGGAGTTGGGAAAAATTTTGAGTGTACATTCTATTAATAAAGTGTTTTTGACAACCTACCCTACAAGTTAGTACTAATATGCCAATAAATATGTCAAAAACATTTGCTAACATACATAACTGTATACAAAGTAAATAATAAAAACTTAAAAATGATAAGCTAGTAAAATTTCCACATGCTGTAGAATACTCAGAGAACAGTGTTAAAGAGCATAGTAGAGAAAGAAGAAATTGCTTTTGGTGTTGGTGTCCTGCTATGACTTTATGGATGAGGTGATCAGTAAATCCTGATGGCAGCAGCAGGACATGAAGTTATTACATGGCAGAATGTAAATGGGAAGAAAATAACGGCAAAAGGAAAATAACCTTAGCAAAATTCAGGTTTTCTTTCCTGCTTATTCCTAGAGGTTTTTTTTAAGTAATTATTTTATTGAATTTTATTTATTTTTAATTAGACCAGAGAGGGACAGAGAGGAGAGGAGAGAGAGAGGAAAGTGAGAAAGTTGCCAGGTCCAGGACTCAAACTGTGGTCAGCCACTGGGGAGTCCAGCGCCCATAATCACCATGCCACCTACTGGCCCCTCCATTACTTTTTGAAAACCTTGCAGTAAGGGCCAATATGTGGTATGGTGGTAAAGATGCTGGACTCCCACATGATCAACTGCAGTTCCAGTTCTGGCCCCGGCAGCTTGAAATACACACCAAGCATGTATGTGCAAACCCAAAGCCCCAATGGGGAGACCGGAAAAGGGATGGTGGTATGGCCCACCCCTTGGGGAGTATTTTCTCACTTTGTTTCTGTATCTCCCTAGAGTGCACATGCCCTACGGCACTTTTGCCAGAGAAGAGGGCATCAATCGGGGTTAAAAAATAGGGCAGATGCTCACTAGTTTTCAAGTATTTAAGCACTCATATTTTCACGGAATAGGTCCTAGAAGAGTATTTCCTTGGGGAAGAGGAAACCTTGGAATTATGCTAGCATTTATTCTGAGTCTTGTTTTTTCCTTCTGCTTTTAGTGACTTTTTGGCAAGTTTCTTAAACTGGTGAGAGGGAATGGAAATTCACAAACAACTAATTTTAAAGTCTTCAAAATACACCTACTGATAGAAAATGGAGTCAATAAAGTCCTAAAGAATTGCTGCCAATAAGGGGAGAAAAAAACGAAAGAGGGAAGACATGGAATGAATGAAATGAAACAAGACAAGAATAGGGGAAGGTTAAAAAAAGCCAGAAATCTAAAGGCAAAAGGGGAGAAATTCATTCAGGCATGTAAAAATTACTTACCTTTACCTCATCAAAGACAAACTGCATATTCTATAAACCTAATAAGCATCGAAAAGCAAGTTTTAATATTTTAAAGAAAAAAATTGAAGTATTAAAATATAGTAACCATGGAACCAGCAGATGGCATAATGGTTATGTCGCTGAACTCCCACATGGCCAACTGTGGTTCGAGTCCCAGACCTGGAGGCTCGAGATTCATGCTGGGTGTGAGTGCATCCATGCCCAAAATCCTGCGAGGAGAACTGAGAAGGGATTGCAGTATGGCCATATGCCCTGGAGGGTGATTTCTCACTTATATCTCTGGCAAGTACAAGTCTCCTATAGCAAAAATCTCTCTTAATAAAAAGATTATTATTGGGGCCAGCAGGTGGCAGGGTGCTTAAGAGTACTGGACTCCCACATGGCCGACCATAGTTCAAGTCCTGGACCTGGAGGCTTGCTTTCTCAATTTCCCTCTCTCTCTCTTGCTCTGTCCTTCTGGTCAAATGAAATAAATAGAGTTAAATAATTCTTAAAAAAAAAAAATTACATATTTATATATATGTAACCATAACCATGCCTTTCTGTTTCTAACTCTGATACACACACACACACACACACACACCACCAAACAGGAACATGTGAAGGAAGACAGCCTTGTATAAAACAAAAGATAAAGTTGAGTTACTCCTTCTATGCCAAACTACTTTCTGGGTTTTTATTACCTCCTCTCCACAGTCTAACAATGACAACAAAATCAATGAAAAATGAAATTAAACCTAAATGCTTCCAAGACTATAATTCTAGAATTATATGAATAAAAGAATGAAAGGTTAATAGAGTTTAGGTCCTGCCCCACAGCCTAGTGGTTAAGGGAAGATGGATATCACATGGCTAACAGCAGTTTGTGTCTTGGGCCTGGCAGCTTGAAAAACACACCAGGAACATGTGCATGCGTGTTTTAAATCCCAACAGGATGGAGAGATGGAACATGGAATTATGGCATGACCATGCCCCACAAAGGGTATGTATTCCCCCTTCCTCTGTTTCAGACTGACCAGCGCATGTGCTCTTTGGCAATAAAAAAAAAAAGTTAAATAAAAAAAAAAAAAAGAAATGCAGTTTAAAGAGAGTTTATGAAAATAAAAAGTGCAGGTTATAAAAGTCAAAAGCTGATTGTGAGGACTGAGACATTGTACACATATTGGTGCTAAGATGGCGCATCATCTAGCAGCTCTACATACAAGGAAGTACTACCTCATCTTTTACTAGGCGTTCACCAGAAAACCCAAACAGCTAAAGTTCATTAAAAAAGACTGAGAATTTTGTTACTGTGCAGTAAGCCACTGTATTCAATGACACTGTACAGAGGAAATGTATGAAGAGTACAAATGCCTTGGACAAAATTTTTGGCCTGGGAAAAAGAAGAAATATCCTTAACGGAATATAAGAAACATGACTAGCGACAACTGGTGGTTCTTTTCGTGAATGAAGTGACACAACATGGATGGTTTTAAAAACTACAGTTCTGGACAGCAATACTAAATGCACTAGTTAGTTACAAATGGAAACTCATAGCAAAACAAAATTCATTTACTGACAGATTTAATCTAGAGAATGCCAATGTTGCTGAACTTAATCAACTTTAGTTGTTAAATGTTCCCTGTCTTTTCCTTTTCCTTCCAGAACCAGAGTGTTTTACAACTTAGGCTAGCTTTGAACTTACAGTCCTCCTGTCTCACCCTTCCAAGTAGTTGAGAATACAGGTGTTCATTTTGAAGTCTTAATTAACCACTAAGAAATTGCTCCTGGACCGTATATACTGTTAGCATCATTAGCTCTTATGAGAAATATGTTAGAAGGAGAACTCCTTTTAGCGAGGAGACTAATTCAGCAACAATCTTCTTGTATCCTTTCCAATACTGAGTTTTACCTTTAGAAAACTTAAAATATGTAGTAAATCTGTATATATGTTCAAGTAAATAAATCTATCTTTGAACAACTTACCAATTAGCAGTATAACTAAATACAGCTAACTGGAGAACACTTGGCTATCTGAATATTTAAAACCATAAAACTCTGCTACTAAAGCATTATGAAGTGGCAGTTATCTTTTCTAAAGCTGGTTAATCCAAAGTAACAACGTACATACACACATTGGCTAACAGGGAACATCCTGGATACAGGTTACTGATAACTGAGGTGGACAGGATAGACTCGGGGGTCACATGAACATTTGTAATTGTTTACCTGGGAAGAGGGAGACTGCTAGGTCAATTTTTATTTGTATTCTAAAGTCAAACTGAGTATCAATAGACTGAGCTCTGGGGGAAAATTTGGGGGGGGGGAGGACATATAGATTACAATGGAGGGAACTTTCACAAATTCCCAAAACATGACTAAGGAAAGGTGGATTTAGTCTTGTGGCATAGGAATAAAGCGTGCATTGGGAGCTGGCTTAAACATGACTGACTGCAGTTAAAACTCCTGGTCCCTGCAGCTTGAAAAACAATGCATGCATGGTGGCCGAGTCATGTGATGAAGAAATGAAGGAGAAAAGATGCAATGTCACTACTGGAGTTACGTGTGTGCGTACCTATGATAATTTTTTTTCTAAAGGTGGAAAAAAAATTGTCTTTTATAAATTCTAGAAGCCAAGAATTTTACATGTGAACTTAACTTTGGACATAAAACATTGTTAGTCAGGTTTTGACCCAAATGTTACTTCCTCAGAGGCTTTCCTTGATACCCCACCCAGAAAACCACTCTTATATCCCTTTATTTTCCTAAAATCACTCTGAAGTATCTTTTCATTAATCTATTTATTTTTAACTTTAGAAACAAGACTCTATGAAAACAGGGATCCTGTGTGTGCTGCTCATGATCTTATTTCTAGCAGACACTTGGCACAATTACTGTTGAATAAATGAATTTCTCAGTGTACACAACAAATCAACCTGTGTGTGTGTGTGCACAGGCACATAGAAACATATATATCTACACACATACACACTTACCTGGACTACAGTGTATTTCTAATTTTGTAAAAGTACACTATTTTAAGTCAGTGGTGGAATATTTTGTTGCCTTAAAGTACAATATATTGCAGTAAAAATTACTTAAGCCTATTCAAATCTAAGCATTTTGATGGAAAAAATAATATTTTTTGGGAAATAACTCAAAAACTACCCATAAAAGACATTTATCCCACAACTTTTGTATCAGTTACAAATAACCAGATGAAACAACTTTGAACATGGTAATTTATTTTATGCAGTTGTTTAAATCTGTTCTTTAAAAATGTTCAAAAGGCACTTTAAAAAACATATTTAAAAAATACAGTTCTCTGACTTAATGGTGATCACTTAAAATAAGCAAGTCACCAGACATTTTTAAACCATTCACGACACGATTACCTTAAATAATTTTTTAGATTCAAAACACAAACATTCACTATGTAGTACAACACACTGCTTAGCAGTAATATTAGTTTCCCTCTAATAATATACTTTATGGAGACTATTAATTTGCAGGGCCCTGCACAGTTACTGAAACTTTAACATAAATGGAAAACTGAAGAAATAAGGGAGTTGAAATTGAGCATAATTCAACTTTAAAACTACTTTTAGAGATGGTTTCTCTAAAGAAAATTTGTAAAATTTCCTATGCTAATCGTGTTAAAACTGCTATTTCACTCTGATATATAAACATTTCACTTTTTATCAACAGATTATATTTAGCATAAACTATACCACAGGTTGTGCCCAGATATCTTTAGTTTGTTTGTGTCAGTCCTACTTATAAAGAAATAGAGCAATGAGGCAAATGAGTTTTGTTCTTCGTTTCTGAGAAAAGGCTGGGGAGGGTCCAAATAACTTTACTTTCTTTAATGATTGTTTATGTCAAATTAGTTTAAACTTGTAGAATTTTTAACTAGGGCAAGTATCCTGAGAACCAGCAGGCATTATTCTTAGACTTTTACTTTCAATATCACAGAGAAACCTAAAGTAAACACATATAAAGTTATCAGCAAGTGATTAAACATTTGAATTACTAATAACAGCCAAATTAACCTTGTCAAGGTAGCAATAAGAGGAGCTAAAAAATTGAAAGTTAGTTATGAAGGAAATAAAGGGCAATAAATACAACAAAGCAGAAATTTGTATCAGAGAATTAACAGTCTAATGAATTGAAAGTTTAAATAAAGAATAAAAGGCTAGATTATGATCTGATCAATCACACGAGGGATTCTTTCAAGTAAAATAGTGATTCAATCTGGTAATAATATTTGATAGGCTTAAGGTGAAAAATACTCAAGAAATAATTATGAAAGTAACATCAAATTTGGCACTCAACTCCAATTATATTAAAAAAATATTAAGAACTAGTAATTTATTTTCAAATCTTACTCTAGTAAGAAAAACTCTGAAATTTAAAGATATTTCAAAACAAACTCTGGGATGAAAACCTGCTTTGTCTATGAACTTCCCACTAGAAAATACAAGCATATTGTTATTATAGAAGGTAAGACATTGAACGCCTTAAGTTTTGAGACCATACTAAAATAGTTTACCCAAGTGACAAATATCTTAATCTAAAAGATAATGAATCACTATCATGAAATCTGGTTTTGTGTGCTCTATCAAATGTTTGTAAAGTTCTTTTGTTTTATTAGGTCATGGAGGACAGCAAATGATTCTTGCAAGTGATAAAATTTTGATAGCACACATCAGGAGAAAAATGCTTTCCATAGTATAAAACATTTTGTCACTTTTTTAAAATTAAGAATTGTGGAAATTTTTGATGACACTCTTTTATATATGCTTTTAATGAATCAGTATGCACTTATTAGAATTTAATGTACCTTTCCTGCCTCAATGTGAAATAACTCAACTTGGAGAATTGATATTAGTCACTCTGGGGAAGCTAAAGAATATTGCTAAAATGAATAATCCACTGATCCTAGTGGATGATGTGATCCTGGACTACAGTGATTTAAAATGCTCAAGGGGTAGTATAATTCGCAGTGTGTTCCAAAGACTGCACCAGAATCCATTTAGGTCTTAAACTAGGATGAGTAAGAAGCATCTATAGGGCCAGTTTAAAACACAAATGTTGGCTCCCACCCTTAAGAGTTTCTAAGTCAGGTACGAGGTAGGGCCAAAAGAGGGTGCAATTCCAACCAGTTCCCAGGGGACGTAGATGCTTGCTGGGACCAAGCTTTACAACCACTGCCCTAATAACGTATTCTCCTGGGCCCCATCCTAAAATCAGAATTTGTAGAATTGGAGTCTTCAAATCTTCATTTTAAATGCTCCTAGACAAGAGTTTGAGAACCACAGTTTAAGAAGCGCTATGACAATTTGGCTAGTTAATCTGACATTAACTAGCCAGTGTGTCAGACGTCACGTTATACAGGTGAAAACAGAATAATGCTAAATGACCAACGCAAGTCTTACATGGTACAAATGAGCACACAGGTTTTGAGTACAAATCCTAGCTCTGTTACTTACTAGTTCTGTGACAGTGAAAAAATTACTTTCTCTGAGCCTTAGTTTTCTCATCTGTAATACGGGAATAACACCCAATCTGTGAGGATTAACATTAGTATACACAGAATACCTAGCAAAGTACCTGGCTTACAGTAGGTACTAGATAAATACTAGTTATACTACTTATTATTATAAGAAACATACAAAATACTTCCTTCACTATCTAATTTTGTCAAAGCAGATTTTTCATTCAATTAAATGTAGTACTTCTATTCCAAGGTAATATAATAATAATAAAATCTTATAATTACTGCCCCTTGTTCTAGGCAAGAAGTATTCTAAGAGCCTTACATATATTCACTTATTTAGTTCTTGTAAAAATTCTGTGAGGTAGGTAGCATTATTATTCATAATTTACAGATGAGGAAATTGAGGCACAGTGAGAGTAAGTAAATTGCTCAAGGTTACAAAAATAGAAAGTGGTAGAGCAAAAACTTAAACCCAGGCAGTTCAAATCCAGAGCCCAGGATCCATTACAAAATTAATTTCCTATGAATAAGTGAATTTTAAGATGTTTGGATATTCATAATATACCATTTATACTTCTAGTAAAGAAAAGTGGCATATGTGGACCACAGCTGTAAATTCATGTCCACAATATGGTGAAAAGTTGTTGAAAGAGTCGGATGAATGCTATGAAATTCTGGCAGATAATACCACCATAATAACAACAAAAGAAAACAATTTAATAGGCAAAAATCGGTGCATATTTTCACTATGTGGACAGAGTAATCCATAATTAGTCACTGAAATGAAGATCCTCTCAAATATACTATCCAAAGAGGTCATGGTTTTGACAATGTTTGGCACAATAAATACAAATTATTTAGCTAAGCAGCAGAGTTAATGGCATGACAGCCATGTAAAATTAGCATAATAAACACAAGAGAAATTTAAATCATTTCTAACATTAAAAATAATCTTCTAGGAAGTCTGTAAAATATTGTTATGATACACTCAATAGTATTGCTAAAGACAATGAAAATTAAAAATTTTCTTTCCTCCCAGAAACCCTTTAAACAGACTCTGTCATTAAAGTTAGAATAAAACATTTGTGAATGCGTTTTTTGATGACAGTCTTGAATAGATATTTTGCTTTGTTAGAATCATCTGTAACAATTATCTCAAGACAGTAAACTTCAGGATGTTATTGGTAAAGTTAAGTATTTGGTCTTTTAATATTAGGCTGCTGGGAAATTCATGACGTGTTTCTGCATTAAAAAACATGTCATGACTTTCCCAATATGAGACATTTCAGTTTACTTCAACACTTTGCATTTTCCAATGTTTTTAACTCTGGTCAAAATCTTGCATACAAATTATTCTGCCAGTGTAATTAATAGCCACCTCAGAGCCTAAAAATGATTTTTTTTAAAACTCTGCTTTAAATTTTAAAATTGCTTTATACATATTATAAAAGGCACACATAATTTCTTATCTCTCAATAGGAAGAGAATGGAAGGAATATAATTATATAGTTGGAAAGAATTTTAAATAGTCAATTAACATGTCATTTGGTAATTCCTGAGAGTGGCAATGAAATAAGAAACGCATTCCCAAATAACATTACTTTTACTACTAGTAGTTGCCCATAATTGACAATGGGTAAATTTGGGAACAAAGTATTTAAAATGCATGTTTACAGGATGCCATTGATGCTTTGAGTAAACAAATACTTAAGAGTAGAGAATGGAATTGAATAAATTGTAAACATATTTAGAAGAGAGACAACAGGAACTGAGTAAAATATTTTTAGTTAGACTCAAGTATATATTATAGTCAAGGTCCGTGATAATTTCAAAGTATAGTTTTATTAATGATGCACTCTAGGATAAGTGCCATTCTTATTCTACCTTCTTCTGGAAGAAATACTGCCAATGATAAATAATCACAGCAAAATTTTCATTAGACAAAATCTGTATGTGTGTGAGGGGTTTGGTTCATTTATACCACACTGTAAATAAAAACTCATATCTTGAGCTTATAATCAACACTGAGCAATAATATTTCCTTCTAAAATTTTCCTTAAGGCAGATCTGTTTAGCATTGTGTTTGTTACTAACATGGTACAGTGCAGTTTTAGCAAATTTAACCTGCTGTAGTTCTCAGTAACAGTAATAGAGAGTCAGGAACAAGCAATAAAATTTCTTTTCTAGTTCCTCTAAATGGCTACCATTTTAAAAACACAAGTTCTTTATATATATACATATATATAAAGAACTTTTCTATATAGTAACAGTTTTTTATAAATAACCTATATATAATAAAAGTTCTTTATATATATTTACATATATAAAACTATATCAAAACACATTTTAACAGATTTCACAGCTCATTTAAAGCTTCAGTTTACAGTCATTCGTATGAAAGATTTCTATATGGAACGTTCACCTAGAATTCTTCACTGGGATTCCAGTGTTCTATGCCAGAGATACAAAAGTCCTTCTTCAGTGCAGTGCTAGATATTTTACCTCTGTTCATTCATGTTTTTCTTTCAAGGGTTTCCTAATTTTACTTTTGGATCTTCATTTTTGCTTGCTTGCCCTATATGCTTTAATATATTTTCAGGTAAGGCAGGTTGATATCTGTATAGGTAACCATATGGACGAAGATGATAAATGAGGTATTCTAACTCGTACATAGTTGTAGAATCAACATAGTGAAAAGAAACTGCAAAATCAGAACAGCATCCAGGACCCTAAAAAAGCAGTGAAAACAGACAATGTTAATACACAACAGTCACATACGGATAAAGGACACATTAACTTTTTTTTGATGGGTTTCTGCTACAGGGCGCATGCGCTCGCCAGAAAGATAGAGACAGAGGAACAGAAAGCGAGAAATCACCCCCCCAGGGGGGATGGCCACACTGCAATCCCTTCTCTATTCTCCTCTCAGGATCCTGGGCATGCATGTGCCTGGCTTGAGTCCAAGCCACCGGGTCTGGGACTCGAACCACAATCAACTACATGGGAGTACAACAACATAGCTATTATGCCAACTACTGGTCCCAGGACATACTAATTTTAAAGAATTAAAGCTGGCAAGGTAAAGCAGAGGCACTAATTTATTAGCCCTGTGGGAGAAACCAATAGTTCTCAGAGTTCCTAATGATTTAAAATCAGAGTTCCTGAGGTATTTCTAACTAAAATACTATTCTCTCATACTGTTCAGTGTTTTTACAGATAAAATTGAGGCTTCTTCAAATAAAACAGGCAGCTATAAAAAAAAGACAAGATTCTATTTCTCTGACTTTTACTTTCTCTTCATCATTTTCTCACCATATATTTTATTTGGCTCAGCCTCAAAAAGATACCTCTGGTACATTTGATGACTATCATGCTTGGCCCTTTGAGTCTACAACCTAGAAGTTCTCAAGCTAGACTTGGATTTGAATGCAAATTTAGCCTATAGTATATGACCTTTGGCAAATTACCACATAAGTCAACTGCTGATTGATTAAACCAGTTCTTTCTTATAATAAATATATATGTGAACCATATAATGCAGTTTAACATTTTCTAATAGCCACATTAAAAAGTTAAGAGAAATAAGAAATAAGAAAATAATATGAATACATTTTAATAAAAATACTAACTGCATAATTTTAACATAATCCTCTCTACAAGCAATTTTTATATAATTCTGAAATTCTCTAATACCACCAATAACAATTTACTACATTAACTGTGTTACTCTCTATTTTTTTTACTGGGTGGCCAGGATGTTATTAAACATTATAAGAAACAGGACAATAAAAGAAAAAAGCTGTAATTATTAGAAAGAATATAGTACTTCTTTGCAGATAATTATAGTTAACTAAAAACTCGAGTCTCAAGTGAAAATTCACCAGAAATAATTTGGTAAGAGTGCCAAATTTTGAAGAAACTTAAAAAATGCCCTTTTAACTGGTATAAATTAAAACCTAAGTGTGTTGTTTTTGTTTTTTAAGCCGGAATAGAATAGTAACAAAAATACAAACTACTGGGTTGTTGTAAAAGTCATGACACATTTTTACACGGAAAAATATGTCAAGATTTTTCTGATGACCCAATACTTAGATATTTAAGATAGAAGGATCTGAGGAAAACTATAAAACTTTACTGAAGGACCTAAAAGGCAACTTGGAAAAAACAAATCCTGGGCAAAAATGTCATTGTTCCTAGACTGAGTTTTATAGACAGTGACAAAGACAAGAGTTACCAAAAACCCTTTGAAGAGAAAGTGAGAAAAAAATGCAGCATACACTCAGGTTCACAACAAAAATGCTGTAGATTAATTACAAAGACATTGCAAAACACCAGAACAATATGGCACTGTGCCAAAACCAAGCAGAACAATGACACAGCACTGAAATCTCAGGTATCAATCCCACTATCAGAAACGCAACAGGATATCATAAAAACGTTTTTTTTAAAGTCAGCAATGAAAGTAGGACTAAACTAAAAAATGATAATGGAACAATCAGCAATTTGGAAAAAAATGAGCAACTTTCAGACAGGTTATAGTAAATGTAGGTAAGTCTGACAAATAGAATAAATCGTATCTGACCATTCCTGACCTATCGAAATGGCAATTCCACATAGAGATGGATGTGAGGTTATTCATATATTTGCACATCTATTTTAAAGCTACTGACTGCAAATTCTCAGATGAAAAGTCTATTCCAAAAGGCTTTTATAGAAGTGGGAAGGTAACGTGGGAAGGGGACTACATGAAGAATCCGTTGTGAATAAGCAACCTAAGAACATAACCTTTTGAATTAGTGTATCTTATACCTCGACTTGCTAGGTAAAAATTTTTTATGGTGTATTTTTAGTACCTACCAAGAGAAAAAAATGTATGTATGAGATTTAGACTGGCTTTGAAAACCATCACTTAGGGAGAAGGTAGCTTATTAAATGATAGGTGACTAAAAGACGTTTGGCTTCCCACTGGGTTTATGTAGAACCTCCTGAGGAAAACAGACAGTGTGAGAACGTTGGGTAAATTTTGGTACTTCAAAGTTTTAGTCTTCAATATAACTGCATTTTCATAAATCTTGCCATCCATTTCAAAAAAACTACAATTTAAATAAAAGATGCACTATAGAAACATTTAGTTTGTTGGATATACCCTATGGGCAAGTACTCTTTTAAAAGGAAAGAATGGACACTTTACTGGTTACGAAATAATGACAATCGTGACGTCCCTTTGCTATTATTGTATGTGTACACCAAATCGGATACTTCCACTAAAATCTTATATGCATTTGTGTATATTGGTTACTTTCTTTGTAATCTGGGTATTTTTATATGGGAAGTAGTACAGAATAAAGAAGGGAAAACATATTAAGAAAAGGTGACATCTAAAGAACATTAAGGGACCAGACTGTGATGCAGTGGTAAAATACCAATGCTCTGCAAAGGAATTCCACATAAGAAGGTTCACGGTTCAAGTCCAGAGACCTCCCTGAGTATGCTGGGCACATGTAGACCATTATCAGGGAGGTAGACTATAGCACTGAAACCCTGTTGGGGTGCTATATTTCTCATTCATGGAAGAAATAAATAAATGAACTTAAAATATTAAAAGTAGCATCTCACTAAAACAAAAAAATAGATTTAGGGCCAGAGAAAAGAGGCATAAAAAACTTACCTAAAGGCATTACTAATTAGTAACAGAAATGAATTTAATAGCTAGGTTTCATGATTCACGGTCTTACTTCCTGTAGCAATGCTTAAAATAGTGAAAAACTGAAAACTATTAAATGTATTAGTAGGAGAATGGATAAATTACAGTATATATTAGATTATACAGCAGTTTAAATTAATGGAGCATATATATATATATATATATACATTAATGTTGATGTATCTCAAAGATCTATGAAAAGGACAAACTATAGAAAGATGCATGTGGTACAGAATTCCCATTTTAAAACCTGCAAAGCATCACTGTATGTTATTTATGGATACATAAACATGTAGGAACAAAATATGAAATATGTATGGTTAGGAGTAATCTTAAATTCAGGGAGTGGTTAACACTGAGGAAGGTTAGGTTAAGGTAACAATTAGGGAGGAGTATGTATGCCTGAACTATGTAATGTTTGTTCCCTTCAATAAACCTGAAACAAACATGGTAAAAGATGATTATTTTAAAAAGGTGAGGAGTGGTTACAAGGTATCATATTGGTCTCACTTATTTATACATCAGCTATTTCACAAAATGTACTTTAGATAAAATTCTCGAGAATAGAAGCTAAGGTGTCAAATAAGAGCTAAGAACTTATTAAATGCTTATTGTGTGACAGGCTGTATTATACTGTAATTACAAAAATTAAATGACAAAGTTAGATCATGTTCATTTTACAAAAGAGGAAACTGAGGCTCAGGAGGCACAGAAGTTAGATAAGTTCAGTCCAACCAAGGTCATTCAACTATCAATTCTATGTAGATGAGCAGGATTTGAACCTAGGTCTTGCAGAACTTCCACGTTTTTTTCACATGTTCCTTTTAACTAGAAGGTTTGTTCCCTAACCTCACTTATATTTCTGTTCAGAAGCCACTCTTTTAGAGGGGACTTTAAACACTCAAACCAAATGCCCCACTCTGGGTTATTCTCCATTCCCCCCTACCTGGCTTTATTTTACTTCAGGGTACTTCCTCCTGCCTAAAATTACTGTATCTTTACTAGTCTGTTTGTTGTCTGTTTCCTGATGCAGAATGTAAAGTTTATAAGAACTGGCATCTGGCCAAATTTACTTCTACGTTCTCAGTGCTTGGCATAGAGTATATAGACATTATTGAGTAACTATTGCTAATAATTTCTGCTCTCGTCTATTTGATATCCTACCATTCTGTGTAAAAAGGCTGAGATTCCTGTTACTGGTACTAATGAAACATATATATAAAAAAGTGAGTTTCTGTTTTTAATTGGCAAAAGTTACTAAGTCCAAGTATTTATATGGTAATAAAATTTTCTAAACTTACCTCTACAGGAGGATAATAGTTATAATTCCAGTACCAAAAGGTTTTGGGTAAATAACCTTTGACTAAGTGATGTTCTGGTACAAATGGATGAAAAGTTTCTTTTCCAGTGGCATCTCTAGAATCTCCTGCTTCTACTTTTACAATTTCCATGCACCGTCCCAATGCTAAGTCTTCAATGGAGGAAGTATGTGTACATTTTTCTGTTTTAAATGCATCAACGAATCTCTTCAAGGCTTCTTTGCTTAGTACATATCCTGCTCCTCCACTCATGTAGCCCTGCTTTACATAGGGCTTAAATCTTCTCCCAAAGTAAATGGGATCTTCGGGGTTATATTTTGAAAGAAGCCATCTCAAATTGTCTAGTACGACATACGTATCATCATCGGCTTTCATAAACCAGTCAGCATCTTCTAAATAATTGTCATGAACGTACTTAAAAGCTCTAATTGTTTTCCAATATAGCTGATCTCTGCCTTCTTTGGTTTTTAATCCCACAGCAGGGAAGTCTTTATTTTCTTCCGAACTCATGAACAATACTTTATTACAACGCTGGGCCCAAGTAGCTTTGACATGTTTGGCCTTTTTCTCCAGATTTTGGGGACCAGTCATAACCCAGCAAAGAATTCTTACTTTCTGGTAGATGTTTTCAGCGATGTCTGTGTTCTCATCTATTAAACACATATTTTTAAAAGTTATATTTACAAAGATGGAAAATCCAAACAAATTAACACTGAAGAAAAGCATTTTCTTAATTTTAATGTCCTTTTAAAAATTTATTATTAGAGATTTAGCTGAAAGAAAGCAAAACTTTTCTTTTTTAATAATTATTTTAGGGGACCAGCAGGTGGTGTGGTGAATCAAGGTGCTGGATTCCCACATGGCCAACCATGGTTTGAGTCCCGGATCTGGAAGCTTGCTTTCTCACTTTCTGTCCCTCTTTCTCTCTGTGTCTCTCTCTAGTCAAATTAAAAATAATAATCAATAAAATTGTTTTATTTAACTTTATTATTAAAAATAATGAAATCAAATTTTTATTTAACTTTACCATTAGTGTTTTAAATTTGACCAGAGAGAGAGTGGGAGAAAGCAAGTCTCCAGGTCCAGGACTCAAACTGCCATCAGCCATGTGGGAGTCCAGAGCCCTTAACTATCATACCACCTGCCAGCCCCAACAGAGCAAACTTAACATAGTCAGTCTTACCCAGGAGATAATGGGGCTCCAAGAGTTGTCGTTATGATCTAAATTCTTACTAGCCCAACTGGTTCACTGACCAAAAGCATCAGCATCACCCAGAAGTGTGACATGTAGAACTATTTATTAGACATACAGAATCTCAGGCCCCAACCCAGATCAACTTTATCAGAATCACCATTTTAACCATGTCTCCTGGTGATTCATATGCACATTAAGTACCGCCTTAAAATGGTCTCTGCTTTTCACTGCATACTACAGGCTGAGTATCCCTTATCTGAAATGCTTGGGACCAGAAATGTTACGGAATTCATTTTTTTTTTTTCATTTTGGAATTTTACAAATAAATAATGAGATATCTTGGAGATGGGAGACTAGTACAAACACAAAATTTATTTGTTTCATATATACCTTATACCAATAGCCTGAAGGTAATTTTATACAATGTTTTCAACTGTGAGCATGAGACATGTTGTGGGCATGCTTGCCTGGAGGATTCTGGGTATGCTTAGAAAAGATACAAGTAGCTGAAGGGTGTTGGGAGGGTCTGGCTGCAGCCCAGTCATGAGTTCTGGTATGAAATTTTCCACTTGTGACACCATTTTGCAACTCAGAAAGGTTTGGATTTTGGAGCATTTCAGATTTCACACTTTTGGATTAGGGATACTCAATCCACAAAAAAAAAAAAAAAAAAAAAAAAAAAAAAAAAAGGGCTTTTCAAAAAAAAAAAAAAGCTTTAGCTGGTTTTCAGCAGAAGTTTAACACAAATTTCTTACTGCTCTGAATGAGCAAACAGCAGGAAAAGACATCCTGCTTACAAAAGTCCACTATTATGAATTTTCTTAAGTACCATTGAAGGCATTTATGATTACTACAGTCTGAAGCACAAGAGTACATTAGCAGGTTGAGATTACTTCCCACAGTAACAGAGCTCATGTCAAATGCAAATCCACCACTAAGAAACAGAACAGAAGTAGAGGAAGATTCCCAAGACTCTCTATAGCAGCATTTTTCCAACTACTAGTTTGCAATGAAGTAGGGGGTTTATTCCAGAATATAAAGCATCAGGTTATCTTTCACTGAAGATAGCTTGCTCCAAAAACAAACAAACAAACAAACAAACAAAACAAAAACAAAAAAAAAAAACAAAACCCAACCTGCTCACTGGAGAGAACTATAGGAAGTTATCAAATTCAGCCTGGTGCAAATTCCTTATGTAGATGCAAATAATTCATAGGCTGTCAGGCCAGGACCATATTTTTGGTAGCACTGGTCTAGTAGAAGACCATCATTATCAGATTCTAGACTGATGCTTCTGAAAGTACCTGCGATGAAGGTTTTTTCTGTTTGTTTTTTTAACGTTTTAGCCATAGGGTGCATGTGCTCACTGGAGAGAGACAGAGTCTGCCTGAGGGAAAGCAAGAAATTACTGACCCCACTCCCATCTCCAGGGGAATAGCCACACTGGAATTCCTTCCCCTCTATTATCTTCCACAGATTTTGGGCACACATGTGCCCAGAGTGATTCTCAAGCCTCTAGGTCCAGGACTCAACTATATTCGGCCACATGGGAGTCCAGTGCTTTAACCACTACACCATCTGCTGGCCCCAAAGGGCCAATTTTTATTAACAAAAGAAATCTATACTTTTACAACTATGATAAAAACAAATTACTAGAAAAATAAAACTCCTCCCCCCAAAGCCTTACGTTTTTATTTTTACACTTATCCAAAGCTACTCTGTCAAATTGTTTCTGTGTACTCTCAATGTCAATACTTACTTGGTTGTGGACCAGCACAATTCTGAGAAACATACTTTGGGTAGCAATGCCCCAGGTTGTATGCTGAGAAAACACCCTTCAAGTTAAGGCCAAACAGCAAGTTATAACTTTTTCACTAGGGATAATTTGATAGTTAACTGATTGAGAGGGAATCCAAGGGAAGGTTGAGCAGGGAATGGAAATATTCTCAAACCACTCTGAATATCAAGAATGCACAACCTAAATGGATAAATGCAGATAAAATCACCTATTTTCAGTCAGAAAGCATTCCTAGCTCATCTCCCTTAGGAACTCAATCGCTTGGGTATTCAGCAACACCAAACCCTAAATGAGAAGAGAAAATGGTGCAGGCAGAATCAATCTGTTTCACTCTGAATGAAATAGCTTTCTCTCTACAGCTAAAATCTGGAAGATATTTTCATTCTTTCACTTATTTAACTACTTTGTACCAGGCATGTGCTGACACAGGAGACAAAAAGGTGAATAAAAACACTTCCTGCCACATAAGAATTCACAGTTTAATGTGTCATACAAACAGATCACTGCTACATACTAAGAGATGGTACAGTTGAAGCAGGTATAAAGAAAATGAGAGAAGGGACCAGCAGTTAGCGTAATGGCTATGTCGCTGGACTCCCACGTAGTCGACCGCGGTTCGAGTCCCGGACCCAGTGGCTTAAACTCACACTGGGCACGTGTGCGTGCGTGCCCAAGATCCCGAGAGGAGAATAGAGGAGAAGGGATGGCGGCGTGGCCACCCCCCCGGGGGGTGATTTCCTGCTTTCTGTCTCTCTGTCTGTCTCTGTCTGGTGAGTGCACATGCCCTAAAGCAAAAATCTCTCAAAAAAAAAAAAAAAAGAAAAAGACAATGAGAGAAGAGAAAGAAGTGGCTGATGAATCCTATAGGGCAATGACGTAGAAGAGAGAAGAAATTTCGAGATACAGTAATACTAGAAAAAATAAGAGAGAAAGTAGTCTTTGAGTAGAGGCTCACCAAAAGAAAAGACAAGAGGCATGGTGAAGTTTGGTTGCGAACAGGTACAGACAGGTACATGGTTATAGCTGAAGACCTGGATTACAGGAAATGCACTGTGGATTAAGAGAAAGATCTAAAAAATAGGAAAGGAGGAGAATAGCTACAATATAGTGACAAATAGGATTGATCAGTATGAGAAGGAAAAACATTATAACATTGTAGCTCCTGGCTTATGTAGATGGTAATAAGCTATATAAAAGAAATACAGGAAGAGAGCAATTTTAAGGAGTAGAAAAGTTTGATTTACACATGTTGAGTCTGAGGAGAATAGACAGACTTCCAGCTCACCCACATCTTGTGGGGCTCCTGAGCAGGACAAGTGTGTACCTAATCCATGTGCCTGCAATGAGGTTTAAGTACGGTCAACTAGTAATAAGGAAGCTTGTCCCTCATTGATTATCTGAAGACATGGAGCTATGTTACAGAATAAGTGCATACAGACCAAACTGCTCTTTAATCAAACAGAAAGCGCCTGATAGTTAAATCACTGTTACATAAACAAAACATTCACATAACATGATATCATTCGTAATGTGATGCAGGTACCTGCCAGCTGATAAAAATCAAGAGGCTTTGACACCTTATCTTTCATCCTCTGCTTGAGAGGCAGGAAAGAAGTAATTTACTACTGCAAAGATAGGAGATTCGACTCTTAACACGGGGCCCTCTACATCCAAGAATTCCACTTATTTTCAAGCTGCTTATATTATTTTCTGTCAAATAATAATTTGCGGAGATCATTGCACTGTGTTAATGTCTTCTCAAAGTGACTGGAACTGGGCCGAGATAAAGACAGAAATACACAGAAATTAAGATGATGAGAGTTGATGATATCACAAAGACTAAGAAAAAAGCTCAAGATCAGAAACCTGAAACAGATCAACATGTAAAGGGCACATGGAGGACTCAACTGAGAAAATCTGGGTAGAGATAGGAGGTCAGAAGAAAATGAAATCATTATTAATACGCCATTAGTTTTTCACTTCTTAGTTCTATTTTTTTTGGGGGGGGGATTTTTTGCTATAGGGTGTGTGCGCTTGCCTAAAGACAGAGAGACAGTAAGTGAGC